TGGGAGAGGCCAATTCAGTATAAAAGTATAATGGCTTGAGGGCCTTTTGTTTATTGAATATGGAGAATAGGTGCTAATTTTCTTTTGGTAAATTGACTTTAATCAGTAGCTACCAATTTTTTTTTTTTTTTTTTTTGTAGTATCTCTCTTCAAGATTAGCATTATCTCGAGGTCATCATTCCTCCGGCTAGAAAGCTGTATTCACTGAAGACAGAAATATCGGTCACTATCTCCCTTTTAACCCTAATTACACTAATCGCTACTTTTTTTTTGATGTGACCTACTTCCAGACTTTGCACTTCCAAAGTGTACATTAGTAGGGCCTTCAGAAACTTTTCCATTCTCCCCACCCCACAAATTTAAGGTCATAGGGGAGATGAATCTTGAACTTGGTATTCTTGTCCAACTGGTTCCCCATTAGCAGATATCCTTGGGAGTTTGTGGAATGGGGATTGTGGCCATTTTATAGTTTCAGAGTTTGTGGAATGGGATTGTGGGCATTGTATAGTTTCAGGATACACAGTTTCCATCTCTCTTTTTGGTCCTCAATGGTCTTTTAAGTGGATGTCAGGGAGAGGAACTTTTAAAACTTGAATGCTTTATACATTAAAAACCCACTTTACACTGCAAATAATAACTCATATTTTTTGTTCTGTAATTTTAGTTATAGCACAAATTGGATTTCTTATATACGTAAGACTTATATGAAATTTGTATATCATCTTAGGTTGTTCCATCTTTAAAGCTAAAACTATTTTATGCACAGAGTTGCATCAATTTTTTAAATACTCAATTAGCAGTGGGAAAAATCTGTAATAAAATGTATTTGGAAACATAGCTCCCTCTCATACAAGGTTGTTGATTTCTGGAAGTTATTTTTACTTTTATTTATGTCTTATGGTTTATTGAAAATATGTAACCTTGGTTATACTATCCTTATGAATTTCCTCCCCCCAAGGAATAGTTTAATATTTATGAATGTGATATTGTTCCGTAGTCTTCACAAATCTCTAATATTACTAAAACCAATCAAGCAGCTTGAAGGTATTAGGAACCACCATTTTTATCAGGGAGATAAAAATGTCACCCACGGGATCCCTGGGTGGCGCAGCGGTTTAGCGCCTGCCTTTGGCCCAGGGCGCGATCCTGGAGACCCGGGATCGAATCCCACGTCAGGCTCCCGGTGCATGGAGCCTGCTTCTCCCTCTGCCTGTGTCTCTGCCTCTCTCTCTCTCTCTCTCTGTGATGACTATCATAAATAAATAAAAATTAAAAAAAAAAATAAAAATAAAACCTAATGATATAGGCAAAAAATAAAAAATAAAAAAAAAAAAATGTCACCCACATGAAGGAAAAGATTCTTGGGTACATCAATGTCCTGTGTTTCTCTATAGTGAGAGTTTTTGTACTTGAGTATACAAGCAGATTCAGTAGCTATTTGATAGTTGGGATTCTTCATGAATCCCCAAATCCATGCACATGGAAATGTTTAAAACATTACACTGAAAATGAGAAACCCCAACTTCCAGGAAGATTTTCAATTATTTGGACATTTCTTATAGATCAGTATTCCCAAACAGGTTTTAATGGTTATTTTTCTGAAAGTAAGGGCATTTGTAGTGATAACTAAATAACAAAGGCAAATGCTGGGCAGACTGGGTGAGTGAGATAGGTTCACACACCAGCTTGGACTTCTGCACATCAGCCAGAATTTTTGTTGAGAGTCTGGGCCGATTACTCAAATGACCACAGGGCACAGATCTTTGAGGCTGGTGGTCAAACCTGCTAATGTTAAATTCCCAAATACACAGTTTTCTAGTTTGGGTTCTATGGCTGATAATATTCTCATGTTTCTGACAGGTTTTTTTTTTAATCTCTTAAGGATAAGCAGGATAATTCATATTTTACCAACCCAAGTCTTCATTTACAAAGCTGGTGGTAAAGTTCTCTACTGTCAAATTTTAACACTGGGTTCAGAATTCCCATTGCAAATTTACACTTGGTTTTCCAATTAAAATGGGCTTTTGTGAGTCCCCTGCTGATAGCCATTGGCTTGATAAAAAGTAACTTCATTTACAGCAAGGGTGTTTAGGGAGCCCAGTGCAAGGCTGACTCTTCTGCTGTTGCCTTGAGCCCAGCTGTGCTGAAATATTAAACTTTAGTAAATTAGGTGAAATTGCAGCTTCCTGGCTGATACAATAATGCCCTTTTCCTTTTCTGCAAACCGTCTCTGGTATGAGTTGTCTGCACAATTCTGCTCTAAGAAGAAATAAAATTCAGATTATCTTCCAAATCCAGACAACTTTTCATTTTCAAGATAATTGTGCCGTATCCTACTTGTCTAACAGAATGCTTAACTTTCAAACACGTAGAACTGGATTGCTTTATTATTTTAGCACCCCTCAAATACACTATTACTTTATTATGCCCTACTCAGATAAGCAGCCATATTCCTAAAAATGTTGGCCTTACATAAAAGGAGTAACTTTCTCTGTATTGATTAGTACATATTTTAACAGCAGGAGTGAGCTATGGAAAGAAATAATATTTCCAGTCACAACTATTTTCAGTTTTTTCCCCCCCTCCTTTTCCCTTTAAGAAAAGTATTAGTTCCTGGGTGTTTTAGTCATTGATCCAGCATTTATTGATCGACTACTATGTGCAAAGTTCTGGTGTGTTTTCAACCAAATATTTTTAATTAAAGCAAATGCAGGATTAGCAGAAAGGAACTAGGCAGCCTATATTTCTCTTCTTGATATATGTTATTTTTTTCAGGGACAAAATCCCTGGAAACAGCTTTATTGAGCTGTCTGGCCAACCTGGTCCCCCAAAGGCTCTGGTGGGTCCTTCAGGTTAAGACTTTAAGCCTTAACTGGCACCTGGCTGGCTCAATAGTTGAGTGTCTGCCTTTGGCTCAGGTCCTGATTGGGGGTGGGGGTGGGGGTGGGGGATGTCCTGGGATCCAGTCCCACATCAGGCTCCCCTTAAGGAGCCTGGTTCTCACCCTGCCTATGTCTCTGCTTCTCTCTGTGTGTTTCTCATGAATAAATAAATAAAATCCTTAAAAAAAAAAAAAAGACCTTACGCTTCTAGGAGACTCCAATTGAAATATATTTTTGTACTTGGGAAAGCTAAATCATTAAAGTCCTTTCAAAATATCAAGGTATGCTTCTCAAGGTATTTGCAAGACGGTGGAGTCCAGATACTGCTTTTGGAAAAATCTCAAATCTGTACAAAAGTAGAGCGAGTGGTCTGATGAGCCCCCGTACATCAGTTACGGTTTACGGTTTACCGAGGCTCCTCAAGAGTGGAGTCCCGAGCAAAACTGAAGTTGCCCACAGGGGACTTGGCCATTCGGGTGGCACAGGGCCAGAATAGCTTGGGGCTGAAAGAGGAGAGCCAGACTGAATCACAGGGTCATAGGATCATTGTCCTACAATTAACGAGACACCAAGAAATGGGGTCTCCCCAAGAGGATCTAGACCAACACGATCTGGAACAGGCGCCTGCTAAAGTTCTTCTGGAAAGGGGCTGGGCTGGTAAATACTTTAGGCTTAGTCGGCCCTCGGCCCTCGCATCTTCGTCACCAGCACTCCGCTCTGCCCGTGCACTGCAAAAGCAACCACGGGTGATGCAGAGCTACATTCAGCCCCAGGTAACACGAAGGAAAGGGGGATGTGGGTGTTTCCAAAACAAAACCCAAACCCCACTATTTACAAAACCGGGCAGGGGCCGCATTCGGCCTCCAGGGGGTGGTACGCCAACCCCTAAAGGTCGCCTGGCGCCTGGCAATCCGTGGTCCGAGCCTCCGGACGTGCGGTTAAGGGGATGGGCGCCGGGTGTCCCCAGCGCAGCCGCGTCCCTAGCAGCCGCTGCCCGGGCGCTCCGGCGGGCGACCGCACAGTTGGGAAAGTTGGGAGGCGGCCCTTCCTTCTCTCCTGTGCCGCCCCGCGGGGCCCCCGCTCCGCCCGGCGGGGGCGCGGCAGGAGTTGCGGCGCGGGCTGGGTGGGCTGCGTGCGCCCCCGGGACGAGGCGACGCCGCTCAAAACTTGGAGCCCAATCAGCTCCGAGTCCAGCGCGCCAGTCCCAACCTTCAGGTGACCCCGCGGCGGCGGCGGCGGCGGCGGCGGCGGCGGCGGCGGCGGCGGCGGCGGCGGCGGCCGGAGCCCGCAGCGGCTCGGAGCGCCTCCGGGAGGAGAGGAGGCGAGCTCGGCGGATCGTGCGTGGCTGCCCGCCGGGCGCCGAGCTCGCGGTCCGCTGGGCGCGGGGAGGCGGCACGCGCCCCCCCCCCCCCCGCACGCCGCGCGGCTGGGCCGGGAGGCAGGGGTGCCGGGGTGCGGGCCCGCGCCGCGCGCCGTCGTCGCCCCTCCCCGCCGCCTTTGAACACGGGAGGTGTGCGCGGCGGCGGCGGCGGCGGCGGCGGCGGCGGCGGGTCGGGCTGCGCCGCGCCGGGCTCAGGATGCGGCCGGGGGGCGCGCTGCTGGCCCTGCTCGCCAGCCTGCTGCTGCTGCTGCTGCTGCGCCTGCTCTGCTGCTCCACCGACGCGCCCGCCCGCTCCAGGTACCCCCGCACCCCGCCTTCCGCGCCCCCGGCCCCCGCCGCCCAGCCGCCCCGCTCCGGGCGCGGACTTCGGGCCGCCGCGCGGGGAAGCCGACGGAAGGCGGTCGCGCGAAGCCGGGCCGGGAAAGGGCGCGGGGGCGGGGGGGGGGGGTGCGGGGCGTCCAGGAGGCGGGCCGGGCCGGGCCGGGCGGCGGTGACCGAGGGGCGCCCCTCGGCCCGGGTGGGCTCCGGCGGCCGTCGCTGCGGAGCGGGCCCTGCCGTCGGGCCCGCAGCCGTCTCCCGGGCGCGCCGTCCAGCCCCCGGGCTCTGCCTGCCTTCCCGCCCTGAGCTGCCTTCAAACTCGGGGGCTGGGGGTGCCGCGGGGCCCGGGGCGGGGACGCCCGCAGGTGCGAGCCGGCCGGCGACGGGTGACAACTTAGTTTCTCTTCCCGGCTGTGCAGGCTCTCGGCGGAGCGGAGCAGGGACGGCCCCCGCGGCACCCCCGCCGCGCCCAGGACGCTGCGGAGCCCCGCCACCCAGCTGCCGCGCCCCACCAACAGGTACCGCGGCGGCGGCGGGGACGGGGGGCGGCGGGGACCCGGGCGCGGGGGGCTCGCTCGGAGCTCAGTGCCCCGCACCGGCTGTGGGCCCGGGGCGGCGCCATCGAGCGCGCTCGGGAGTCCGGGTGGGCGTGCGAGCGTGTGTGTGTGTGTGTGTGTGTGTGTGTGTGTGCCGGTCCTCACGCTGCCTCAGCCTCCCCTGTGTGTGTGTGTGTGTCCCTCCTCACGCTGCCTCAGCTTCCCCTGTGTGTGTGTGTGTGTGTGGGTCCTCACGCTGCCTCAGCCTCCCCTGTGTGTGTGTGTGTCCCTCCTCACGCTGCCTCAGCTTCCCCTGTGTGTGTGTGTGTGTGTGTGTGTGTGTGTGTCCCGGTCCTCGCGCTGCCTCAGCCTCCCCTGTGTGTGTGTGTGTCCCTCCTCGCGCTGCCTCAGCCTCCCCTGTGTGTGTGTGTGTCAGTCTTCACGCTGCCTCAGCCTCCCGTGTGTGTGTGTGTGTGTGTGTGTGTGTGTATCTGTCCTCACGCTGCCTCAGCCTCCCCTGTGTGTGTGTGTGTGTGTGTGCGCGCGCCGGTCCTCACGCTGCCTCAGCCTCCCTTGTGTGTGTGTGTGTCCCTCCTCACCTTGCCTCAGCCTCCCCTGTGTGTGTGTGTGTGTCCCTCCTCACGCTGCCTCAACGTCCCTGAACAGCTGTAGCTCCGCGTAGAGGTTCTTCCAGCCAAGGGACACGCTCGAACCGAGCTGCACTTTAAAAAAAAAAAAAAGAAAGAAAGAAAGAAAGAAAGAAAGAAAGAAAGAAAGAAAGAAAGAAAGAAAGAAAGAAAGAAAGAAAGAAAGAAAGAAAGAGAAAGAGAGAGAGAGAGAAAGGAAGGAAGGAAGGAAGGAAGGAAGGAAGGAAGAAAAAGAGAAAGAGAGAAAGAAAAAGAAGGAAAGAAAGAAAGAAAGAAAAGAAAGAGAGAGAGAGAGAGAGAGAGAGAGAGAAAGAAAGAAAGAAAGAAAGAAAGGAAGGAAGCCAGGCAGGCAGGCAGGTTGCGAGGCCCTTCTCGGTAACCGCGCTGCAAACCCCTGAGAGGCCGCAGCCTGCCTGCGCAGGGATCCGGTTGGTGCGCGCCTTGCCTCTGGGCTTTACCTCGTACCCGCGTTAAGGTTCACGTTGGGGGGAGTCTGTGCACAACGCTGAGGCTGCTTTTGGCCGTTGTGAATGGAGACTTGAAATTGTTCTTTTTCACTCACGGGAGTCATATTTATCCATGTGCCATAATTGTTTGTTTGTTTGTTTATCTTTTTTTTTGTTATAAAAGTAATATATGCTTGTGGCAGAAAGTTAGAAATATGTTAACAAATATTCACTCAGAGCTCAGATCATATTAGGGCTTTGGTTTGTATCCCTTCCGGTAGTTTTTCCTACCTACATATATTTTAAAGATATACTTGAGATTATACTTTGTAGTATGTGTCCTGCCCTCTTTCCTAAAAAAATTAGACAAAGACATGTCATTAATTAACCCCCCTCCCCAAACATTGCTTTTGATTGTTGGGTAGTTCATCGTAGGAACGTGCCCTCTGCTTTAACTGTTTGTAGTTCTAGACATTCACAGTATTTCCTCTTTTGTTTTTGTTTTATTTGCTGTTAATAATTCAATTAAGCACATCCTTGTATGTAAATCCTTATCTTCGTATTAAACGGATTCTCCGGGGTGGAGTGATAGCGGTCGTATGATTAGGTTGCAGAGTATATGTGCATTGTAGGTTCCAAACACATATGGCCGGTTACGTCCTGGAAGAGTTGATTCAATTTACATTTTCAACCAGAAGAATGTACTGTTTCCTGCCTCAGTACAAGAATTGCTAGTACTACTGTATTTTTGTTGTCCTCTTTTTCTTCTGCTTATCTCTTTTGAATCTCTTTCCTTCTGTGTATTCTTGGCTCTTGGACCACGCATGACGCCAGGCTCCTGTGTGGCATAGTCATAAGGAGGGTCTGGGGGGGGGGGGGAAGAAGAAGAAGGGTCTGGGGGAGCCTGGGAAAAATCTTGAAGCGCAGGAGTGGTCCTCCACAGCCCTCCTATTAGGATTTTGCAGCATGTTAGAGATACTGAGAAATCCTGGAGTCACGGAGCTATTGTGAAAAATAGTGGCCTCAGAGTTTTCTGTTCTGCTGGTTTGTAGCCCATAGATAGCATAGCTTTCCAGTGATCTGGGGAGCATTCCATCTTCCTCTGGGCCCCTGTACTGTTTCTTATTCATTTTGGCATTGCCCCTTGGGGAAATTTTGAAAGAATGCACTAATTGAATTATCTGGTCCTAGGTCTTTTTTGAGGTAGTTCTTTGATGAATTTTTCAGCTTCTTTTGGCATACTTCTTGTCTACTTTGCATACTTCTTGAGCTAATATAGGTAATTCATATGTTTTTCTGAATCTGGTTCAAGAATTTTTTTTATACCATTCTGTTACGTTTTAAAAAACTGATCTGATTTATTTCCCCCTTTATCGTTTGTGATTTTAATTATTTATGTAGCAGGGGTACAGTTTTTAATCTATACTACTTGATCATGTTGGTAGATTATAATTTCTTTTAAAGATTTATTTATTTATATTGGAGAGAGAGAGAGAGAGGGAGAAGAGAGAAATTCTCAAGCAGACTCCCCGCTGAGCTCAGAACACACATGGAGCTCCATCCCATGACCCTGAGATCAGGACCTGAGCCAAAACCAAGTCGCTTAACTGACTGCACCACCCAGGTGCCCCAAGAAATTATGATTTCTTTTTTTTTTAGATTTGATTATTTATTCATGATAGACACAGAGAGAGAGAGAGGCAGAGACATAGGCAGAGGGAGAAGCAGGTTCCCTGTGGGGAGCCTGATGCAGGACTCGATCCCAAGACCCCGACACCATACCGTGAGCCAAAGGCAGATGCTCAACCACTGTACCACCCAGGTGCCCCCAGAAATAATAATTTCTTAATTTTTCTGTAGCTGATCGGATCTTTCCTTCATGAGCCCCACTGTGTAGGTAATAGGTAAAAGTAATAATAGTAGCATTAATAGCAGTAAGGATAGCTAACACTTTGTGAATATTTTTATGGGCCAGATATTGATCTATGCACTTTACACTTATTACCTCACTTAACCCTTAAAAACTACTAAGAGAAACTATGATTATCTTCATTTTATAGTTGAGGAAACTGAGGCACAGAGTGATGAAGTAAATTGCCCATAGTCACAGGGCTGGCAAATTGTGAATCCAGGAGTCACACCTGGGCCATGGGGATCCAGAATCCCATAGTCTTTTTTTTTAAGATTTTATTTATTTATTCATGAGAGACGGAGAGAGAAAGGCAGAGACATAGGCAGAGGGAGAAGCAGGCTCCCTTGGGGAGCCCAATGCAGGACTCGATCCCAGGACCCCAGGATCACGACCTGAGCTGAAAGCAAATGCTCAACCACCGAGCCACCCAGGTGCCCCAGAATCCCACACTCTTAATGTCCCTGTTGTGTAGCCTTTCTTAGATTCTGGGCAAGATATGTATGTGTGTGTGTGTGTGTGTGTGTGTGTGTGTGTGTGTGTGTGTCTAGGTTAAAACTTAGATGTGACAATTTAAGCAACTCGTTCTGGTAATATTTATTCCCTTTTGAGAGCCAGTTCTCAGCCTCTTATGTTGTTTCCACCATCTCTCCTTACTTAAAGATGACACCCAGATATAAGGGAGAGAGAAGGATGATGTGTTGGTAGGATTAAGAGTTGGGATTCATAATCTTAGTATCCTTTGACTCCTCTAATCTCCAGGGTGCTGTTCCTCATTTTCCACCTGATGGCTGGATACTACCTTGCTGATAGCCAGTTAGGAAAGCTCTGCTTTGTGGCTCATTCTTTTTCCCTGGCTATTGTACCTTACTGGTATTCTCACTATATTTTCCTCACTGAGCTCTCACCTGCTGCTACCTCTCAGGGATCTGGTGAAGATTCTCTGAAGATCCTCTCCTGTGTTGTCACTGAGAACATTTGTTCTGATGCTGTCTTGCCCAGTTCTGGCTAGCTAGCTCCACAACCAGACTCCCAGTTATTTCTGGATCCATCTAAACATAAAAGAACCAAAGCTGGCTCAGGGATTTAAATATAGGGTCTCCCTCTACTTGCCCCAGGAAGTACATATGACTCTAAGCTAATTTCAGGATGGGAGGCTGTCCAAGAGGTGATCTTTCAGAGTCCTAGTTGGGGGAGGAGGCGAATCTCCCTCTACTCTTGTGGTTACTTTACCTTTCTATTTCCAAGCCAGAGCTCTCCTCTTCTTTTCTCTGTCTTCTTTCCACCTGTGCTCCCAGTTGGGAATGTTCAGGCTACTCCTGTCTGTCATATTTTCTTTTGTCCTGACTCAAACCTCCAGGCCTGATTGAAACCTAAGGCTTAATGGTAATCCATGGGGACCAGGAGTGAAAAGATTGAAAAAGATCTAGGAGCTGTTGTCTTCCAGGTAAGGTGGTCAAAGTACTAAAGATAGAGAATGAGAGGAATTTGGAAAATATCTCCTTGGGGCCATAACATATCGTGTTTTGCTTGGCTGAAGCTGAATATTGCTTTATCCTTTCTCTTTGCATTTTTTCAGTAACAAGTCTTTATCTCTCCAGAATCCACCAAAGGATGCTTTAAAATGACTGAGGGAAAAGTCATGTCAGAGTCAGAAAGACAAAAGAGAAACAGTTAATAATAATTTTCAAAATATAACCCATTACAGTGGATAAGCCCTGTCAACGTCTGTCAGGGGTTTCTAATAAGCTCTGTCAACGTCTGTCATGGGTTTGTTTTCCATACAACCAGCTCTTGGGATTTATTTCTCAATTCTGCTATTTTTTTTCCATGCTGTTATTTCCTTTGTGTTATCTTTAACTTTTAAAAATCATTCCTTTTTTTTTTCAATTTAATGCCTTGAAGTGAATGCTTCATCTAGCTTTCTGTTTTTCTTTGTAACAGAATGTTTACTACTATGAATTTTCCTTTGGATGCAGC